TGATGGCATTAAATTAAAGGTGTGCACCACCATGCTATACCTATTCTCACTTTTAAAGGAACTTCTGAAGATCATCAACAGTATTGAGGGGACTGGAAAGATGGCTCAGAGGTTAAGACCCTATCTCAAACAAACACAAAAGACGATATTGAAAGTTTCACTGTAGGGTCTGGAGAGAAGGATGACTCAGAGGTTAAGAGCACTGTCTGCTCTTCCATAGGACCCTGGGTTCAATTCCCAGCACCCACAAAGCAGCTCACAACTGTCTGTAACTCCAGTTCTAGGGAATCCAACACCCTCACACAGACAGACATGCAGACAAAACACCAATGCACATATGAAATAAAAATAGTTCTTTAAAAAAGGAAGCTGCACTCTAAATTCTCCTGAGAAGATTGACCTTCTCAAGGCAAGTTAAGACACACACACACACACACACACACACACACACACACACACACACATATACAGACCTATGTGATCGACTGAGAAGTAGGTCAGGCGCTTCCAAGAACTCAGCATTGCTATCATCTGAGAGTTAGTAGCAGAGGGCAGGGGTGTGTTCCGGGTCAAGATGGTCAGAGATAGGCTTTTTCATGGACCATAGAAGCTGGGGCTGCCATGGGACACCCCCGAGCCACTGATTCCTCTGTTACTAATGCTTGTCCCCAAGCCCCCTGAAGTCACCTCATTAACATAAACCTTTGGGTTTACCAAGAATAACTTCAGCATATTTCTTTCTTCTTGGTCTTTGGTGACAGAGTTTTACACTTAGTCTAGGCTAGCCAAGTATGCTAAGCAAGAGTCCTTTTACTGAGCTGTCCTGGAGGGATAGAATCCACGTCTACAAGTCTCCCTCTGACATTCACACATGACTATGGCATGGATGCCACCACTACCCCAACAAGTAAATAAATCTTTAAAAAAAAAAAAAATAACTCTCGGCTGGGCATTAGTGGCACACACCTTTAATCCCAGCACTCGGGAGGCAGAGGCAGGAGGATCTCTGTGAGTTCGAGACCAGCCTGGTCTACAAGAGCTAGTTCCAGGACAGCCTCCAAAGCCACAGAGAAACCCTGTCTCAAAAAAATAAAATAAAATAAAATAATTAACTCTTATTTGAGAGTGGAAGACCTGTTCCGTGGGGCTCTATGTCGCCTCTTCACTGTACCTTTTCATTTGTTTGTACCTTTAGATCTTTAAATGTGTATTTTATTTGTATGAGTGTTTTGCTTTCATATATGTGCACCACAAGTGTGCCTGGTTCCCATGGAGGTCAGAAGATGAGAGCATTGGGTCCCCTGGAACTGAAGTTACTGGAGGTTGTGGGCTACCATGTGGGTGCTGGGAACTGAACTCAGGTCCCTTGCAAGCACAACAAATGCTCTTAACTGCTGAGCCATCTCTCCAGCCCCTCTTCACCATATCTTGTCTCGGGCAGAATTATCAGCAAATATGACTGAGTTGGCTGAATAGATACTGAATATAAATGTAATATATACAATAGTGTGTGTGTGTGTGTGTGTGTGTGTATGCATTTTTCTTAGATGAATGCCAGATTATCCCCCAAACAACATGAACAAGGTCTTTTTATAACGAGTCTGTGCCATAGCCCCCAAATGATTGACAGACCACTCATTAAACAAACGTCATGTCTGACATTGGTGATAACTAGAAGACGTAGGAGGTTAAAGGACTGGTAAGTGGCTTAGACTAGAAAGGCCAAGATGAAGAGGTTATGACCCTACCCTCTGAGGAAGTACAAGGGACTGTGAGCTCAGGAGACTGCATGTCTGGAGACAGTGCTCGGGTCTGAGGGCGTGCTGTTGCTCCCGATAAGCAAGTGTGTGTGTTCAGGTGATGGAGGAAGGGGTGCTGGGGAGGTGGAGAGGCCGGAACACAGTGGGGAAGTTGAAAGCTAGATTGTGTGTGCCTCCAGGGGTGGCTGCTGTGTTTGCCAGTGTTCGTGCAGTGGGTGAGACCAGGCTCTGTAGTTCATAGGGGAAGTCAAGGCCTAAAAGGAGGCATCTGATAAAAGCAAATTCAAGAAAAGAAGGGTGTGCACTCAGGAGGCAGAACAGCTGATCTCTCTGGTTAGAGGCCAACGTGGCCTCTGTAGTGAGTCCCAGGCCAGCCAGGGCTGTATGATGAGACCTTGTCTTGATAAATGAGTACCAGGAAGGATTTATTTTGGCTCACAGTTTGAGAGCTCACAGTCCTGCATGGTGGCAGGCACTAAGGCAGCTGGTCACACTGTGTCCACAGGAAGCAGAGAGAGGTGAATGGCAGTGCTCAACTCATTTTCTCCTCTTATCAGTGGGATCTCAGTGAGTTCGAAGCCAGCCTGGTCTACAGAGCGAGTCCCAAAACAGCCAGGGCTACACAGAGAAACCCTGTCTTGAAAAGAAGAAAAAAAGAAAGAAAGAAAGAAAGAAAGAAAGAAAGAAAGAAAGAAACTAAATTTGATTCAAATTGACACAGCATGGCTCAATGGGTAAGGTGGTGGTCACCGAGCCAGAGGACCTCAGTTCAATCCCCAGGACCCACATGTAGAAGAAAGGACCAACTCCTACAAGTTGTCCTCTAACCACGTGTGTACACACACACACACACACACACACACACACACACACACACAATATAATAAATAAATTTTAAGTAGACATTATTTTAGTTTATTTTAAAAAGCTGAAAAACATTCTCCTTTGGGAGCCTATGCTGGCTGCTGCTCTATCCGGTGTGACAGCTGGGAATCTGAACTTGGGTCCTCGTGCTTCCCCAGCAAGTGCTGTCACCCCCTGGGCCATCTTCCCAGCCTGCTTATGTACAGTTACATGTAGTTAAAAAATTAGTCAAAACTAATGTGTGGCAAATGAACTCAGGAGCTGGTTTCTAAGGCTGTGAAAACAAGGCTTTGGCAGAGATGGAGCTGATAAAGCCCGGGTGAAACTTACAGCTTATGCCTTTTAGGACAGAGGGAGATAACGGACCCCATGGTAAAAACAAGAGTGAAGTAGTTCTGAGAACTTCGAAACTGCCACCCTTTTCTAAATGACTTCATCCAACAGACAGGCAGTTATGAGTGGCTGACCTCCTTCTGTGGGCCTTGAATGCCAAGAGCTTTTGTCTTGGCATTGTGAGGGGCAGCGCTCAGATCCACCCAGGAGCACAGTCCCTGCCAGGTGCCAGGGTGACCATCAGAAATCTGCAGTTGCCTCCCCACCCCCACCCAGGCTGGCCTGAAATTCACAGCAGTCTCTCTGCTGGAGCCTCCCAAGTGCTGAAATTGCAGCACCCAACCCACACACTTTGATCTCTGATTGCTTTGAGGACCATTCTCAGACTGTGGACTCTGTGTTGTCGTTGACCCTGGGGTGTGAGGTCAGGCAGCTACCAAGTGGGAGGAATAAAATGGGAAGCCAGGTAGGGTGGTGGTGGCGCACGCCTTTAATCCCAGCACTCGGGAGGCAGAGGCAGGTGGGTCTCTGTGAGTTTGAGGCCAGCCTGGTCTACAGAGTGAGTTCCAGGATAGCCAAGGCTACACAGAGAAATCCTGAAGAAGAAAAAGGATAGGGCGCCAGGGAAGAAATTTAGGTGGACTGGAATAAACGCGAGGGAAGCTTTATCACCCTTGTAACCTCAGCACTTGGGAGGTAGAGGCAGGGGGATTATCGGGACTATATAGTGAGCTTAAGCCAGCCTTTGCTATATAGAAGACTATGCAAATATTAATTAATACTTTTAAATTATTAATGAATAGGAGGGGTCACCACAAGTAGCCTGTCTTTCCTTCCTTTGGTTCTCCCTCTGCCTTCTCCCTCTGTTGCTTCTCTCCTCTCCCATGGTTCCTGTTTGTCTCTGGTATGTGTGACCTCCACCACCCCAGCTTCTCAGCAGAGTGTCCCATCTATTCTGCCATCCCTCGAACTCTGGTCGTGTTTGCTTGTGAAGCAGCTTCCCTGATCACAGGAAGTAGGATTTCATCTGGTCCTCCACATAGACACACTCCTCCACATCAGAGGACACCTATGACAACAACCAACACAACACTGACACAGACACCCTGCTCTCTCTGCATCTCTGGAAGGAGAGCCATGACAATTCCAAACACCACAGTGACAGACACGCAGCTCTGTCTGCATCCCTGGGAGGAAAGCCATGACAGTCACCAACACAAGGGTGACATAGACACTCTGCCGAGTAGGCACCTTCCCCCATACTCATACTCAACTTTTCCCTTTCTGTGGCTTAAGCTCACTGTATTGCCCAGGCTGGCTTCCAACTCACAGCAATCCTCCTGCTGTAAGCCTCTCAAGTGCTGAGATGACAGCACCCGCCCCACACACCCTCACGTTCATCTTGGATTGTTTGGAGGACAGATATCAGACTGTGGGCCTTATGCACATCAGACAACGTGGCTAAGCCCTGCCTCTGTGGGGTAGAAAGAGCAGGGAGAGGGCTGGAGAGATGGCTCAGAGGTTAAGAGCCCTGACTGTTCTTCCAGAGGTCCTGAGTTCAATTCCCAGCAACCACATGATGGCTCACAACAGACATTACTGTGGCAAGTGTTGTCTGACTTCCTGCTTCAACAAACCAGAAGATAAGTAGTTGTGTATGAATAAATAAAAAGACAGGAACTGGAAAAAAAATAAAAGAAAGAAAGAGCAGGGAGACGCACCGGCTGGAGGGTGTGGCAGCCGTGACAGAGAGCTGGTGTACAGACGAGCAGTACCTGGGAGCCAGGGTGGAACTCAGGGAACGTTGAGGTGGGCTCCAGGACTGAAGCCTGTAGCTCCTGGAGTCTGGGGCTCCAAATGCATTTTTCTTGCATCAGAGATTGGCATTTGGGGCAAGCTCTGCCATTCTTCCCATCCATTTTCCACCCAGCATGAGGTAGCGGACTGAGGGGACCCGATCCTCAGCCCGAATCTGTGGGGTATCTCTTGCCCCTCCTGCTACTAGCAATTCCTTGGCTGATGGCTTTTTCTCTCTCTCTTCAGGGTCAGGTGTGGATCAACGGCTTTAACCTTGGCCGATACTGGCCTGCACGGGGCCCACAGGTGACCTTGTTTGTGCCCAGGCACATTCTGACGACGTCAGCCCCAAACAACATCACGGTGCTGGAGCTGGAACGCTCACCCTGCAGTGATGGGACCTCAGAGCTGTGTACCGTGGAGTTTGTCGACAGGCCGATTATTGGCAGGTCCCTGGCCATCAGCGGCCCTTTTCCAGATCGGTCTGGCCAAGACTGGTGGCTGAACCCCCTGTGATGACTGAGCCTCTAGGATCACAGGCCTGCACTGGCCAAATGGGTCATCCGTGTCTCGATACAGTGGAAGGTGGATTTATCAGGTGTGTGTATCCTACCGGTGTCCCTACAGCAGTAGAGACATTGCCTGGCCTCCCACTCCTGTGGCCACCAGGAAGGCTGAAGGGAGTGGACATCACAGGAACACACACAGCTGGTGTACGGAGTTGGAACAAAACTTGAATGATGTCGCTTGTTTTGATTTGAAACGATCATGTCTTTCTCTCGAATAAAATTTGTACTCAAGAGGAGAAGGTCCTGTTGTTAATATCAGACTCTCATTAAACCCCGTGGTCTGACTTAAATCTCAACTAGACTTGAGTAGGCTGGGTGAGGCCACTTCGCTAGCTTGAGGTTGAAAGTGGGTAGAAGAGAGTCCTGGTTTGGGCTAGCAAATGGCCGCTTTTCTGACCCAGATTACACTGTTTCTGAATCTCTATGCTATCTACTGGGTAAGAAATCTACAGTTACACAAACCACCTAAATGTTTAACAGTTGCTCCAAGTAGGTAGTATGGTCTTTCTACACAAATGAATAGGGTTTTCCATGTGCTGTGTGTGTGTGTGTGTGTGTGTGTGTGTGTATGCATGCAGATGTGTGTGTATATGTTCGTGTATTATGCAGATGCATGAATATGCATGTATGTGTGTGTGTGCAGGTCAGAGGTCCATGTTGGGTGTCATTGTTCAGGAGTGCCTTAGTGTCTAGGCACATACAGGATTTAAATACAATAGTGCTTGTGTTTGAGACCCTGCTAATGTGGGGTTGGGACGTAGCTATGTTGGTAAACAACATGTTTAACAAGCAGGAAGCACTGGGTTCTGTCCCTAGGACTCCATAAAACCAGGCACGCTAGTACACACATGTAGCATTCAAGAAGTGAGACAGGATCCAAGTCCAAGTTTCTCCTCAGCTACATAGCGGGGTCAAGGCCGTGGGCTACAAGTTACCCTGCTTCAAAAAAAATTAATATGATTATATCTGAATGGTAATCATTTGGGTAGTTGGTCTCTTTTTCTAACCTATACTTTAAAATTGGGGGTTGTGCAAGCACGTGCAACCATTTTCGTGTCCAAACACTCATGCTATAGCATGCATGTGGAGGTCAGAGACAAGCTTGAGTGTTGCTCCTTGCCTTCTACCTTGTTTGAAACAGGATTCCTTGTTCGCCATGCAGGGCATACTGAGGGCTAGCTGGGCTACAGGCTTCAGAGCCTTCTCCTGTCCCCTCCTCTCATGGCTCCACAGGAACCCTGGGATTACAGACTCAGGCACTCTACTGCATCCAACTTTTACATGGCACCCAGATGTCCAGACTCTATCCCTCTTTCTTGATTGGCAAGTGTTTTTACCCACTGAGCCACTACACAGGCTTGTTTTGTTTTGTTTTGTTTTGAAACAAAGTCCCATGTAGCCCAAGCTGGCCTTGAGTTCATCATGTAGCCAAGAATAACCTTTCATTTCTGATCCTCCTGCGGGCTGGGATTACAACATGCACCACCATGCCACTTTTCCCCGGGGCTTCATGCACGTTAGACACACTCCAGTGACGGAGCTACAACCCCAGGCTGCTTGTCTCCATTGTCCAGTGTCATCTTCTGTTTGGTGGTCTGTCCATTTTTGTTTCTTGATAATTCCAGTTTATTCTAAATAAAACTGCTTAGCACTGATCTGAGCCTGGGGTTCTACTATTTCCCCAACCAGCCCTGTGTCCTCTGTCAGGTGACAGGAACAGCAAACCATCTCCTATAGTCTTGGTCTTTATTTCTTCTTCTGTGAAAAATAAAAGGTCATTTTCTGAAATCACTTCTTAGTCACCATGAGGGATCTGTCTAGGCTATGGTACAATACCACACATGAGCTGCAGGAAAACCAGGTGACTGCCCAGGGGGTTGGAAGGGACCAAGCTGGCTCTAGGTGACAATGTCCCAGCCCCTGAATGTCATAGCTTCCCTTGCCCCTCAGACTACCTGGAAACTTGCATTGAGGATTCTATACCATCCCCACCAGACACTTTGTTTTCCCACTTTTTTTCAGTGTTTCTCTGTGTAGCCCTGGCTGTCCTGGAACCAGCTCTATAGACCAGGCTGGCCTCAAACTCACAGAGATCCACCTGCCTCTGCCTCCCAAGTGCTGGGATTGAGGGCCTGTGCCACCAGAACCAAAGGGGCTTTCCCAAGTTTGAGGAAGTATCCCACAAACTTAGGCCCTCTGGACTCCTCAATCTGCAATGTCTCCAAAAACTAAAAACCAGGTCACTGGGCCAAGGATGTGGCTCAGTTGATTTGCCTAGCATGCATGAGGTCTGGGTTCCACCACCATCACTGAAAGATAGGTGCCCATCAGGCACCCATGTAATCCTAGCACTCAAAAGTGGGGGCTATAGGATCCGAAGTTCAAGGTCATAGCTACATAGTAAGTTCTAGGTCAAAATAGAATTAAGGATAGTACTAACAGGCCAGACTTTGTGATGGAAACTCAGGTCAGTCTCTCTCCCTCCCTGTCTCTCATCATTGGTGGCAAGAAAGTGATTCACGTATACGCCTTGGTCTCCTCAAGTGTGGTCCCCACTTGGTGGGCTTTTTGGATTGCAGCAAACCTGGAAGCATCTCAGTCAACACCTGCCATAGAGCTCGTTGTCCTAGTTGTCACTTCTGTTGTTGTGAGAACACACTGGCAAACACAGCTTAAGAGAGAAAAGGTTTCAACTCGCAGTTCAGTTACTTCAGGGTAGCTCAGGTGGCAGGAGCTTGAAGCTAGTCATATACCCCGCCATCAAAAGCAGAGAGTGCCTGAGTGCCTGCTTGCTTACTTGCGTATATATAGCTCAATTTTGCCACATTGTGCTGTTTGAAACGCCTGCCCACAGCCGGGCATTAGTGGTGCACACCTTTAATCCCAGCACTCGGGAGGCAGAGGCAGGTGGATCTCTGTGAGTTGGAGACCAGCCTGGTCTACAAGAGCTAGTTCCAGGACGGCCTCCAAAGCCACTGAGAAACCCTGTCTTGAAAAACCAAAAAAAAAAGAAAAGAAAAGAAACCCCCACCCAGGGAATGACAGCACCCACAGTGGGCTGGGTCTTCCCACATCAATTAATTAAGACAGTCTTCCATAGGCATGCCCAAAGACCATCCACTGTAGTCAACCTGTCCTCACTAAGGCTCTCTTCTCCCAAGTGATTCCTCATTGGGTCTAGTTGACAGCATTAAACATCACACACATGTTCACTGATTTCTTTCCATCACGTCCTCCACGCAAACAAGGAAGCCTAAGAGATGGGAGAAGCAATGGCACCCAAGATGGCTCTCTGAGTCGCTTGTTCATTTCAGCGACCTGGTGCTACTCGGCCACCGTGCTGGGCAGAGCCTCCTAAGCAAAGGAGCCTGTCTGTGATGAGCCATGGTATGAGCCAAGGACTGGAGGGTGGGGGCAGCATCCAGAGAGACCCTCTAACCATGACCTGGGACCATGGTGGACACTCAGCCTGTGAAAAAGGTTCCGGGTCCAGGCTTCAGGCCCAGGATTGGCCTCCAGGGCTACAGAGTGTCCCTCTATGGGGTTCCAGGTCCTTAAAGTCACTGCGCTCTTGTCCTCAAGCAGCAACAGTGATGTTCTGGCTCCAACACGGTGACTTCCCCCCACTTCCCATGTATCACCCTTAACCTGCTGCTTTGATGGTGTCTGTTGCTGGGTAGCAAGGCACTGCAGTAAGCGGGAAGAGGCGGACAGCAGCCACTCTTGTTTTTGAATCAGGGTCTCATGGAGCCCAGGCTGGGCTCAAGTTCACTGTGTAGCTGAGGATGACATTAAACTTCAGATCCCCCTGCCTCTGCCTCCCAAGAGCCGGAATTACAAGAGTGAACTACCTACCATGCTTGGTTTTATGCAATGTTGGGAATCAAACCCAGAGTTTATGTACATGATAGGCAAACGGTCTACCAACAGAGCTACAGATAAAATGGCCAGCCAGAAAGGGAGCTTTTTCCTTTTCCTTCTCTCTCTCTCTCTCTCTCTTCTTTCTTCCTTCCCTCCTTTCCTTCCTTCTTTCTCCCTTTTTCTTTCTTTCTTTTTTTTTTTGGTTTTTCGAGACAGGGTTTCTCTTTGGAGCCTATCCTGGCACTCACTCTGGAGACCAGGCTGGTCTCGAACTCACAGAGATCCGTCTGCCTCTGCCTCCCGAGTGCCGGGATTAAAGGCAAGTGCCACCACTGCTAATAATGGCTATTTAAAACAAAACAAAACAAAACTGTTAACAGTATTCAGCTGCAATCATTTTGGAACTGTCCATTTCACTGAAAGTTCAAGACTGTGACCTGAGTTGAGTCCTGTTCATTTTGGTCCATCCCCATTGGTAAAGTACAGGGCTTGATCCACACTCAGTTCACTTGGCCTATATTTTACACCGAGGATTCCTTGGGTCATTTCAGCTTGTCTTGGCCCCTGGTGAACTCACTAGATGTAAAGTGTTAAGGATAGAAACCATAAGCACAGGCTAGGAACATACCCCGGCAGCCCCACACAGGTGTGAGAAGCGCCAAGCTAGGTTTCTTTGTTTCTTATCTGTCGGTGAAATCTTCCACTCAGGGTTCTGACTGGCAGTGCTATCTATCCCATGTGCTTCCTCTCTGCTTTGAATTTTACTAAGCAAAGAGACATTGTCTCTGCAGGTTTTGTTATGTCTACTCTGTTCCCTTTCCTGTGGACTTTGGAATCATGAAATGTCCCAGCGAGTAGCAGCCGAAGGGCTTAGGTCTCACTCTGGAGCCTGTAGGATAGATGGTACACGCTTCTATTTCCAGCACTTGGGAAGTAAAGGAAGGAGGATCAGAAGTTCAAGGTCATCCTTAACAACATAGAAAGTTCAAGGCCATCCTGGGCTACACCATGAAATCTTGTCTCAGAAATGAATAAATACTGTGGGGGCGGCTCACACTGGGGAAGCTGAGGCAAGAGGATTGCCGAGGGTTCCCAACCCCTCATGTGATGTTCAGTTCCTATATTCACGGTACCTGGCAGAGCGCATGTAGCCCATAGTAGGTCCTCAGCCAATGCCTGCTGCCTGGGTAACCGCCTCCATGCTTGCATTCACACTGAGGGCTTAGGGGCCCTGTGATGCCATCACTCCTTCAGATGTGTCTGACACCCCAGTGCCCATCCTCTTGAAAGATCCAAGATTTCATTTAAAAGAAAAAGAAGTTTTTAATCTCCCCAAAGAGAGCTTGCTCTCCCGTTGTTTCTTCTGGCTAGACAG